TCGTTCTGCTGTGCATGGGGTCGCTATGAGTCGGTTCCGACTCGATGGCACCTGACAACAACAACAACAAGCCACACCAGGACTCCTCTCTTGTTTTAGCCATTTTGAAATGGATTGCATGACTTCATCTGAAAGAATCCGAGCAGATGCATGACTCTTACTCTCTAAGAGTGTAGTTGGAGGAGTGGAAGACAGACAGATAGTTACAGGAACACTCTGTATGTGCAAAAGGATAATGAGAGAGTGCCCAGAAGAGGAAGGGAATAATTATGTTTACCAGGAAGCTGGATCTCCTGTGGGTATAGAGTCTGCAGTTGGACAAAGGCAAGAGTATTGGCAAAAAGGAGTAATGGCAAGAGGGACATTTCACTCAGGAGAAGCTGTTGAACATAATGAACACCTTATGTTCTTGAAACCATTCAGTTTACTGAGTGGAGCAGTGAGCACTGCAGATTTAGGCTTTGGCAAGGGCCATGATTCTAAAAGGCCTTCAAATCCTTGCTCAAGAGTTTAGATTATTTAGTTGGCAACTGATAGGGTCATGCCAAACCATTCAATAAGACAAAGTAAAACACCTACCACAGGCATGGCCCACAGAAGGAGCCCAGTAAACACTGTTGTTGTAGCACCTTCTGGACATGGATGGCATTATAAGCCATGCATGTTGTGAACATTATTCTCCATTTGGAAAGCGATGGGGAAGGAAAGACAGGCCCCACGGCAACCATGGTGGTAACCCAGATGAGGGAGGATAGGGCCTGTGCTAAGCAAGAACTGCTTGGAGATGGTGAGAAAGGGCTAGGACAGTCAATATCCAGGAAGTAGACTTGACAAGACCCAGGAGCAGTAAGCAGGACTAAGGGTAAGCTGGAGGTCTGAGCGACAACCATGCTGCTGGCTCACATGACCAATTAGCTGGCAATGTGTCCCTAAGCCATGGAACACAGGAGGGTAGACTGATTTGCAGACTGGCAGCCATGGGGTCAAAGTAATGAGGGTCAAGTTTGACAAGTTGAGGTTGGAACCTCTAGGATAGAAGAGCATCTAGTAGACCATCTATCCATGAGAAAGGTGGGCTAGCTTGGCAATACGGATCTGAATGTTATTGGCATAAATCTCAGTGTATCTCAATCCTGGCCAAACATTAGTATCACGTAGGGAGCTTCAAAAAATACTAACGCCTGAGAGCCCATCCTAAAAGTGCTGGTCTAATTGGATAGTGGTAGGGGCAGCTCCATGGGGGGACCTGTGCAAGCACACAGGGCAAACACTTGGAGACCCCCATGCTTGGTTTAACACTCTTGTGTCACTATCTTCAATCCTTAGTCATTTTTAACAATGACTAAGATCACTGTGGAGTCCTGGTGTGGCATGTGGGCTAATGCGTCAGACTGCAAAGTCAGTGGTTCAAGCTCACCAGCTGCTCCTTGGAAACCCTACACAGGGTTGCTATGCATCAGAATAGACTCGAAGGCACTTAACAACAACAACAAGATCACTGTAGGATAATCACTCAACTGCAAGGTTGGTTTGAACCACAGAGTCAGCAGTTCAAATTCACCAGCTATTCCTTGGAAACTCTATACAGGGTCGCTATGAGTCAAAACCAACTTGATGGCACTTAACAACAATGTCCCCTATTTTCATTTTGCATTGTTGTTGTCGTTGTTAAGTGCCTTCAAATCAGTTCCAACCCATAGTGACCCTGTATGGGGTTTCCGATGAGCAGCTGGTGAGCTTGAACCACTGACCTTAGGGTTCAAATGGCTTTGCAGTCTGGCACATTACCCCACAACACCACACCAGGACTCCTCATTTTGTATTGCTGCCCACCAAATTATGACGCTAATCTTGATGCAAGCATGGAAACTTGTAAACATTTCCCAAGTGATTCGAACATAGAGTAGGCTGAGAAATCCTAGTTCAGAGAGTGAGAAGTATAGCCCAGGAAATGTGAAGTTAGGGGAAATTTGAGAATGAAGCCCTGGGGAATATGACACTTAGACGGAGGCAGACAGAGGAAGGAGTCTGGAAAGGAGAAGCAGAAAGAGTGATCCAAAAGCTAGGAGGTCAATAGGGGCCTGGAGATCCCAAAGTCAAGGCAGAAAAGAATAGTCAACCAGCTCAAATATTCAGATAAGTTAAGAACTTGGTATTCAGCATAATACCAACTAACTTGTCCAGCAGCCCTGGAAGTGCTGTGAGGTAGGCATTGGGCTGCTCACCCAAAGATGGAGGGTTGAAACCCACCAGCCACTCTTTGGGAGAAAGATGAGGTTGTTTGCTCTCCTAAAGCTTTACAGACTCAGAAATCCTATAGAGAGTCACTGTGAGTTTGAATGCACATGATGACATTGCGTTTGGGTTTTACTAATTACCAAGGGTGATGAGGGTCCCAAAGAGCTTGTCCCTGAAAGAACAAGAGATGAGAAAGACCAGTAGCTAATAGGGGAGAGTTGTCCTTTCAACTGGGGAAATCTAGCCCATTAGTATTAACTGTGAGGAGAGACATAGGGAGGTATAGGGTGCATTAATGAGAAGGTGACCTAGTAGAAGTTGGAGGGAATGGGACACAAAGAAGTCTGTCAGTTCTGTAAGGACGGGACCATGTCAGTCTCTTCTCAGGACTTTGAGTCCCTAGCATACAGTCGAAGCTCAGTAGAAGTATCCTCAGGCTTTGTCAGAATCCAGAGTGAGTGGAGGGAAAGAGTGATGAAAAAATGAAATCAGAAGCAGATGTCTATAAGGAAGAGTTGAGGGCACAGAGGAGACGTAGCGGAAGGCGGTACCTCTGTCCTGCACCTTCTCCAACACCTTGCTGTATGCCTCTCGTATCTGGGTTGAGTTGGTGACATCCAGCTGTATCACACAGAGCCTTGAAGAGCAGCTTCTCCGAAGTTCCTCTGCTCCTGGTCCTTTTTCATTCAACACTCCCGCAAATACTGTGAAGCCCAGCTCATCCAGATACTTGGACAAAACATGGCCAATCCCGGTGTCACAGCCTACAGAGGATCAAAGCAATACAGTGAGCTAGAACCAAAGAGAAGAGAACAGGTTTTTAACAAGGAGGACTTTCATATGTGACTTGCAATTTTCCCTGTTCCCTGAAGAGAAATCCTTACATCTCTTTTTGCCAGAGCGTAACTGTGATGTAGGGTTTTCTTGGCTGCTTAATAGAAGCAGATGGTCATGCCCTTCATCCATGGTATCACAGGGCAGGCTGGAATCACTCACTTTTAGGGTAGTAATCGAGTGAAAACTGTGAGCACCACCTACATCACAAGGATGCTTTCTAATACATGGAGTCACTTTGAGCTGTGAAGGAGCCCTATTGGTGCAGTAGCTACATGTCAACTGAAAGGTCATTGGTCTGAACCCACCAGCTGCTCCTCTCAGAAAAGGATGTCCCATCAGAATGACAGCCTAGGAAATCCTATGGGGCAGTAGCTGCAGTCTGTCCTGTAAGGTTGCTTTGAGTTTGAATGGACTCAGTGGTGCACTGCACTGAAATGGCATCAACTCAATGGCAACAGATTTGTTTGTTTGTTTCATTGGGGGAGGGGAAGTAGGTAGAAGGATCAGTACTTGGAAAATATAGCCTTGGCGATAGAAATGATGCTGGAGATGGCATGATAGAATTTTACAGGACCAACAGCTTCTTCATTGCAAATATCTTTTTTTAAAGAATATAAAAGATGACTATACACATGGACCTCACCAGATGGAATACAAAGACATCAAATTGACTTCATCTGTGGAAAGAGAGTGCGGAAAAACTTCATATCATCAGCCAAAACAAGGCCAGGGGCAGACTGTGGAACAGACCATCAATTGCTCATATGCAAGTTCAGGCTGAAGCTGAAAAAAATTAAAACAAGTCCACAAGACACAAAATATGACCTTGAATATATCTCACCTGAATTTAGAGATCATCTGAAGAACAGATTTGATGCTGTAGCCACTAAAGACCAAAGACCAGAAGAGGTGTGGGATGACATCAAGAACATCAAATAGGAAGATTGCAAAAGGTCATTAAGAAGACAAAAAGATGGAGAAGACCAAAACGAATATCAGAAGAAACTGTGAAACTTGTTCTCCAGCGTAGAGATGATAAAGCAAACAGAAGAAGTGAGGAGGTACAAGAGCCAAACAGAAAATTTCAAAAGTCAGTTTGAGAAGACAAAGTCAAATATTGTAACAAAATGTGCAAAGACCTGGAGTTAGAAAACTGAAAGGGAGAACACGCTCAGCATTTCTCATGCTGAGGTAACTGAAGGAAAAATTCAAGCCTCGACTTGTGGTATTGAAGGATTCTCTGGGCAAATTAATGAGTGATGCAGAAAGCATCAAAAGAAGATGGAAGGAATACACAGAGTCACTGTACTAAAAAGAAAGGCTGCTGTTCCACCATTTCAAGAGGTAGCATATGATCAAGAGCCAATGATCCTGAAGGAAGAAGTCCAAGCTGCATTGAAGTCATTGGTAAAGACCCAGGTACCAGGAATTGATGGAATACAAATTGAAACCGTTCAACAAACTGATGTGGCACTGAAGGCACTCACTCATCTCTGCCAAGAAATTTGGAAGACAACTTTCTTGCCAACTGACTAGAAGCGATCCATACTTGTGCCCATTCCAAAGAGAGGTGACCTAATGGAATGTGGAAATCATTGGACAATATCATTGCTATCCCATGAGAGTCAAGTTTTACTAAATATAATACAAAAACGGCAGCAACCATACACTGGCAGAGAACTTCCAGAGCCAGATTCAGAAGAGGCTGTGGAATGAGGGATACCATTGCAGATGTCAGCTGGATCTTGGATGAAAGTAGAGAATACCAGAAAGATGTTGCTTGTTTGTTTTTTAATGTTTTATTGTGAATTATGTGATCGTTAACATGGGAGAATGTTAGCTTTACATTCATCCTATTGTATAGTGTTTCATTTCCATGATTACAACCCCCTCCATGCATCATCAACCAACTAAAGGGTATACCCTGCAAACCTACCTTATCCCCCCTCCCCGAGTCATCAGCTCATCAGCACACAGCCCCTCTCCCTCTCTGGGTCTAAAGTCCCCAGCCACTCCATCTCTCCACATCATCATCTCTGCCTCCATTTCTGGCATCACTGCTTCTCTGGATAGGGTCCCGCTCTCCGCTCTTCTCCCTTGATGGTCCCAGGGACCTCTGCTCCTAGACTGCAAAGTCAATCACTCCCCTCCTTTTGCTACAAAACGTCTACCTTTACATTTACAACCCTCACAATCAGTCCTGATAACAATTATTCACTGTTGTATCACAGGAGACTTATCCACATCTCCTGTCATCAGCCCCGCCCAGACAGATTGGATACTACTCAGTGGAGATTCTACCTTCCTCTATGCCCTCTGGATCTAGGCTCCCTCTTGAAAGCTCATAAGCCAGTCACTTCTTGCCTTTGTAGCCCCCTCATTTTGGGTAGCCAATGTCCAGGTTGCCCATTCCTGTCTACTCTGTGTGTAGAGGGGGTGGGAATAAACCTCACTGTAAAGCAGAAAGGTGTTTGTTTACCTGTGCTTCATTGATTGAGTGAAGGCTTTTCATTGTGTGAGTCATAACAAGCTATGGGAAACATTGTAGAAAATGAGTATTCTGGAACACTTAATTGTACTCATGAGGAATCTGTACATAGACCAGTTGTTCGAACAGAACAAGGGAACACTTAATGGTTTAAAATTAGGAGAGGTGTGTATTAGGGTTGTATTCTTCCACCATACTTATTCAATCCGTATGATAAGCAAATAATCTGAGAAACTGGATTATATGAAGAAAAACGTGGCATCGGAAATGGAGGAAGACTCATTAACAACCTGTGATATACAGATGATACACCCTTGCTTGCTGAAAGTGAAGAGGATTAAAAATACTTACTGATGAAAATCAAAGACCACAGCCTTCAGTATGGGTTGTACCTCAATGTAAAGAAAACAAAATTCTTCACCACTGGACCAATAAATAACATCACAATAAATGGGTAGAAGATTGAAGTTGTCAAAGACGTCATTTTGCTTGGATCAACCATTAACACTCATGGAAGAAGCAGTCAAGAAATCAAATGGCTTATTGCACTGGGCAAATCTGCTACACAAGACCCCTTTAAAGTGTTCGAGAGCAAAGATGTCAGTATAAAGACTAAGATGCACCTCACCCACACCATGGTATTTTCAATAACATTATAGGCATGTGAAAATTGAATAGTAAATAAGGAAGACCATTAAATAATTGATGCATTTCATATATAGTGTTGGAGAAGAATATTAAAAGTACTGTGTACTACCAAAAGGCCAAACAAATCTGTATTGGAAGAAGTGCAGCCAGAATGCTCCTTAGAAGCCGGATAGCCAGACTTTGTCTCTCACACTTCAGACATATTGTCCGAAGGGACCAGTCCCTGGAAAACAATATCATGTTTGGCAAAGTGGAGGGTCAGAGAAAAAGAGGAAGACCCCCAACGGGATGGATTGGCACAGTGGCAGCAGCAACCAGCTCTGGTGTAGCAACAATTTGTGAGGTTGGCCCAGGACCAGGCAGTGTTTCCTTCTGTTTTACATAGGGTCACTATGAGTCAGTACCAACTCGATAGCACCCAACAACAATAGGTAGAAGGAGAAAGGCTGGTAGAGGAAATGAACGGAAGAGGAATGACTAGTGGTCAAAGAGGGGAAATTGAGACATCCAATAGAATTTTCTGTATTGTGTTTGATGACACCTCTATCATTCCATAAACTCATCAGTAAAGCATTTGTTAAAACTAGCACTTAGGAGCTGGTTGGGCATTTTGGAGGAATAACAGAATACTATCCAATGTCTTCTGAATTCTCACCAAGTTACCAGGCAGGATCATGCAAATAAGGTATACAGACTCTAAGGTTGGTAATGGTTAGTTTTGCCATCCAGCTAGGTCTAAAAGGAACTATCTCAGAAGGAGGAATGGAAGACCCCAGGGACATCAAGAAAAGCATGAGTGGAGTATGAGATCCCTACCTAGAAAAACCACAACAGCAGAGGCAATGGCAGAGATGGTGGCCTGAAGAGACAGAGCAGCTGTGGGCTTTAGGCCCATGGACTGAGGCAGAGGCAGACACAACACATGACTGAGAGGCCAAAGACAAGAGTGAGGCATGCCTGCGTCTGGCAGACAAGAGGTGTTCCTGACTGGACAACTGCTGTGTCCTGAGTTGGTTTTGATCCTTAATTATATCCTGTTCACTTCCCTAATAAACCCCAAGTCATGAGTTCATATTGTTATGAGTTCTGTGTGGCCATTGAAATGGATTGTCGAACCCAGATATGAAGCAGAGAGTGCTGTGGGAGGGATGGTTGGGGTCAAAATAGGATAAAGAGGGTTGTAGGGTGGAAGCATGTCTGATCTTCACTCCATAGGCATCAGCCTTGGGCTGATTTTGAGTTTGAGTCTCTTTCCCCATTGTGAAGCCAGGGGAAGTCAGATATAACCTCCACATGGTTTTTGCACTGGGCAATAGCAAGGGTTGTCCACAGGGGTCAGTTCCATCTGGGTTATAGAAGATGAAGACTCACATCTTTCTCATGTTCCAGGCCTTTGGATAGAAACGAACCAGCTATAGGCAGCATATAGCTAACCCCTCTGTCTACTGCTCTGTGAATACACGGAAATGTGATATGTATATTACATATCCGCTACTAATAGAAAGGGTGTCAATTCAACCCCACCAGCTTCTTCTTGGGAGAAAGATGAGGCAGTCTGCTTCTGTAAGGATTTACAACCTTGGAAACTCCATGGGGCAATGTGCTATTCTGTCCTACGGGGTCACAGTGGGTCAAAATTGACTCAAGGTCAATGAGGTATTTTTTGTTTTGTTTCTTTTGGGGGTTTCTTTTTGTATGAGTGTAGGAAGGAAGACCCTAGGTGGCACAGTCGTCCAAACCCTGGATGATCAGTGGCACCGCAAGAAGCAGGTCTGGTGATCCACTCCTACA